CAATCTTGGAGACAATCTATACTACAAACAATTTTTGAGACATTTCTCATAAAATGTCAGTCATGCATGCCAAAAGCTAATTTTTTTTTTTCTGTGATTTGTGGATCATATTTGCATGATTTTGCAATTAATCTACAGTGTAGGTTGTCAAATAGAAGCTATAACTCAAAATTAGCACTCTGAATAGCTGAGATGCATTGGAAAACCCAAGAAATCAATTAAGGTGCCACTCTCATGCAAGTTGAAGTTCACCTTTCAAAATGAGCTCCACTAAACCCAGAAAAACTTAATTTTATATCTTTTAATAATGGTATCTCTTAACATATACCTAGACTGCTGTTTGGCTTACTTCTCAAATATTTACAGCTTATAGAGCAAAGTCTTACTTGTCTTAAAAATGTGGGTCTTTTATAAATATTTCAGCATCCCTGACTCTGGAGGTGGGAGAAAGTTGGAACTATATGATCTTTAAGGTTCCTTCCAACCAAGTCTGCCTCCTGTTCATATGAATACCATAAAAAATTATTTCTGATCAATTTAGTAATTAACTTTAGTAGGATGCATGGGTCTTGATCAATTTTAAGAGCTTTTTCCAACCTCAGTGATATATATTATGTTGAACCAAGATCAGGACCGATATTTTTAATTTAAAAGGGTTAAATTCTTGCATCTTCTGTGAGACTATATCTTATTTAGGATTCTTCAAATTTCATTTCATATAGTCTGACCTGAAACATACTGAATATTTTCTAAAAACACTCTCTGTTTTTGAAAAGGTCATCAAAGCACAACAAAGAATGAGTATATCATCTCGGGTATATGAATGTTATTGCTTTATTCTACGTAATTTAATCATCAAACTTATTCATCTCATGAGACAGTAATTTTCCTTCAAGTGCAATTATATTTCACAGTAGGCCTGCTGATTAGGCAGAAACAGAAATAATTCACCAGAAAATTACAAAAAGAATTAATCATCACCAACATGTAAAGTAAGAAATATGATATTCAGCAGCCAATAAATAATTAAATCCCTTCTTTCCAAATCCACCAAAGCTTAATAGGAAGAATGTGTATATGTGCCAATAAAGAATAAAGATCATATAACCACCCATTCAGGGTTTACATTTTGAATGGTGCAGGAAAGATAATTTATTGCTTGTTTCTTTACAAAACACTGCTCTAATAAATTAGGTAGAAGACAGCCCCTTATATTGTAAATATGTATTTTATTGCAAATTGTGTCTCAGTCTGCAACATTAAAATCCTAAAATAGAAAAATTTAAAGACAGTATTAAAATATAAATTGCTATTCTTATGTCTTGTGTGACATTTTCATAGAATATCAAAGTCAAAAGCAATTCTTTAGAAAATGACAGCCTAATCTTGTACATGTCTATTAGTTTCTGTTAGCCTACTCCAGAACAGGCACATTAAACAGGCACAAAAATCTTTGCAGGATTCAGGTCTAAGATTCTGTCCTTTCAAGTCATTATGTCACTTAGATATAGAAATTGCTTTGCTTTGGCAGTTTGTATATTAGAGAAGTCCAGCAGTATATTCAAAGTTCCTATTAGAGAGAGTAAACAAAAAACATCTCTACAAGACATTGAAGAGTTAATTCAGATTACAAACTAAAATGTCAGATTCCTAGCAGTTTGTGTCTCAGAACAATATTCATTTCAACATACATAAACTGAAATGTCAGGTTCCCTGAGGTTCCTCCCAGCCTTGATTCAGTTGCTCTAGACTCAGTCAGATAACTGGCAGATAAAATATAGAAGTGAGGACAATAATATACTCAGAAACAATGTGTGACACAAGATTAAGTTTGTAATCTTGCAAATGGTCACTAACACTGATGGAAATCCTGAACATACATGTGCTGTTGTATTGAGAACCTGTTCAGACCCTAGAGGAGATGATAGCAATGAGGACAGTGCAGTGACAGTAGAACTCCCCATCACAAGTTGCCAACACTTGAATATAAATGAAATGTACAAAGCAACTATGTCAAGTAGCTAAAAATACTATGGAGAAGTACAGAAAAATTATACAAATATCACCTCAGAAATAGTAATGGCCTTTTGAAAAATATATACAATATTTTTCATTTAATTCTGGAGATAGCTTAAAGCAGAACTCCATGAGGAATAATATATAACAAGCCTGAAAGCACATCCTGGAGATGGAATAAGATTTTTATCAACAACAGTGAACATGTATCTTATACATATTTTTCTCATATGTATAACCTTTTTCCACGAGTTCTATCTACTAACAATTTACGTATGTATCATGTGTCTCCATTTCTTCATAAGTAGTTATTGGCTTATGTCTTCCTTGGCAAAGAAGTTCTTAAAAACCCTGAAAGTAACGAATATAGTAATTCTCAAGGAAGAGTAAAGTCGTATAGACTCATCTGACCCTTAGCTAATATAGATAAAATTAATCCCAATGTTGGAAAAATCACACAGAAGGGTCCGGGTCCTCCTAAACACAAAGGAGAGAGATGGGATTTTCCCAGATTGAATCAATCCCATGAGAGATTTATCACCTTACATCTTTTATTAAGACATTCATAACAGAAATATAATTTCTGCTATGAAAATAACAGAAATATTATAAAAAGGTACATTTTCTGGATGACATTAAACCTTTCACTAGTGATTTTTGTGTTTGAAAAAGAAAATAAAAAACATGTGAAGGACTTTGACATTGGAAAAAGCAACACTGGGTCTTATTCTGATCTCATTAACAACTCCTGTAGATAAAGTCCATATTTTGAGTAAGAGTAAAACTTCATGAATTGTGTCTAATAAAAAGTTGCACAATTCCTCAATGATAGATTTGAAAATATTTAGCAGTCTTGGGTTCCCAGCCTTCTGTTAATTTCCCTGTATAACAAAGCCTCTTTTAAGAGACTAAAAGCAATTCTTCTGCATCCAGAACATTTCAACATTTTACCATAACAAATGTATATTCCTGCTATTAATCTGCCTTATGTTATCTATAAAGAAGTGACAAGAAATGTAGAAGTACAGTACATTTCAGGCACGTAACAAGAAGGAAGAAGAAAAAGAATAATACAATTTACTTCAAATTTGTTTTTCTGCAGCATGGAAGCAGTTATAAAATTAGGCAGGGTTTAAATAACATCAGAACTAACTCAAACTTTCAAAATACAAAAAAGTCAACTGAAATGTCAATGTAATCAGTTCTTTCATGAGCTTCACTGATCACATAGTTATTTTTTCAATATGTTTTGCATCTGAGTACCTATCCAATTTACTTAAATAATTATCAACAATTAGGAAGATAGCCTATATTAAATATGAAAGTGCATTTATAAAAAATTGTATTTTTCACTGTGATATATATGACATATCTTCATCAGTTTGCAAAATCATATGACAGTGTGACTTTTAGTTATTTTTTAATACTGAAAAGAGCTCTAGCATAACTAATTTGAATCAGCAAAATACTCTATATTACTATTGACTTCATTTGTGAAATCAGTATAAACCCTCTGAAAAGAAAAATTTGTTGCAGTTCTGCTAGTATAAGCCTTGCTATGATTAGGGGTGCATCTAATAAAAATATTCTGACCAAGAGATATAACATCAAAAACCCTCTTCATAACAGAAAACATGATCTTGTTCAGAGCTGTTAATTTTAAAATCCTCAATACTTTGTTCTTTTAATTATTAACCTGCTTAAAACTGAGTATTGGATGCGTTTTCAAAAATACACATCTGCAAATGTAAAGCAGAAAAAAAAGGGAGTTGTTGGCCTGTCTGCACTTACCATTATTGCACAAAAAAATAACAGGTAGGAACACTCTCATACAAAATTCCCAATTTTTTTTAACTGATTTGAGTTAAATCTATGCGTACTCCATATATCAGTGTAGACATCACAAAAACTACTTTTATACCAGAACTTATTTTTAACATACAGTACTACACATTTCTGTATCGAAGGAACTATAAACTGAAGAAATAGAACCCAAAACACTTCTCTTTTCCTATATCATTTAATCAGTCTGCAAGTTATACCACCCATTGTGATACTTCCTTATATGAAAATAATTAAAATTAGAGTGCTACAACTTTGACTAATTGCATTAATATGTAACAGCCTGAACCAGAGTTTTCAGTACATTTATACTTCAAGAAGGGCATCTGTAAAGACTCAAGGAACAACAGGCAGATCCTCTGAGAAGCTATTTCAATAGGCATGAAAGACAAACAGATGAGCAGAAAAAGCCCAGATGGATTTACTAAGTGCAAATCATGACTGACCAATCTGATTGTCTTCTACAATGAGATGACCAGCTTTGAAGAGAAGGGAAGAGGAATAAATGTTTACTTTCATTTCAGCAGGGTGTTTAATACCACCTCCCTAAGCTCCTTTGCCCCCAAAATGGTGAGATACGTATTGGGTAAATGTGCAGTAGGGTGTGAGGGAAATTGTCTGGACCATCACGTTTGGAGGTCAGCTGCACAAATTCCAACCAGCTGCTCCAAACTCTCAATATCCCTTGGAGATCAATTCTGGGGCCAATACTATTTAATGTCTTTATGAACATCCTTAATGGGACACCCAGACTTGCACTCAGCAAGTTTGCAGATAGTACTTAGTAGGAGGTAAGTGACTCATATACTGACATGCCGAGTTGCTACTCAGAGAAATCTTTACAGACTAGGAAAAAACCGACAGCAACTTCATAAAGTTTAAAAAGGAAATGCAAAGGGATAACTCTATACATACAGGCTGCAGTTCTATTCCCTGAGAAGCAGCCTTTGAAAAAAAGAACGCCGTGGTCCTGGTGAACAAGCTGAACATCATCATCACCTTTGCACTGGTGGCAAAGGTGACCCATGGCATTCTGGTCTGTATTAGTAAGTGAATACCCAGCAGGTCAAAGGAAGCAATTCAGTCTCTAAACAGCTCTTGTGAGATTGCATCTCAAGTATCAGGTAAAGTTTTGAACTTACTAGTACAAGAAAGACATGTGCAAGTTTTGAGCCGGCTTCCCACCAAGACTTGACAACAAGGCCTGCTTCCCAGAGAGGGAAGAAAAAAATACCACAGGAAAAAAACTGAAAGAAGTTTGAACAAAACAGGATTCTATCAAAATATATATTTACAATTATATATATACAATTTGAATATATTATCCACAAAAGGGAGCTCCCAAGGGGGGAAAAAGGGAAAAGGGAGGGGGAAACGGATAAAAAGAAGCCTAAAACCAAATATCTCCTAAATATACCTGTTAATAGAGAGCTAGTGAATAAATATAAACATGAATTAAATACATCCCTGAGCGGGACAGCAGAGCTGTGCAAGGCAGCAGCCGACTTTCCCCACCCTCCCAGAGAGACTGGAGATAACGGCAGGTCAGAGCAGGCAGGCCTTGGCCTATACAAGCAAAAACCATCTGCGAAGAGACCTGTCACCTTCAGCCACCGGAAGAGAGAAGAAAGCAAACTCTCTTATCTGCACCTTTTTATATCCCAGGTTACATAAAGGAATAGCATGGAATACTTCCTTTGTCATATTCCTAGTTCCTTCCTGGTTATAAGCTGGTCTCCAGGAAGGCCTAGACTGAAACCATCACACATGGACATACCGTAGCAAGTCCAGCATAATTATTAGGAATCTGAAGAAAATTAAATACAAGAAAAGGCTAAGAGAATTAGGTTCAGCCTTACAAAGAGAAGGCTAAGGCAAGAACTTCTTGCTGTCTAAAACTACCTTATAGGAGGTGATAGAAAGATGGATACAAAGGTGCACAGTGAAAGGACAAGAGGCAGTAGACATAAAAGATGACACATGGGAAACTGGGTACAAAGGAAAACATTTTTACCATGAGGGTATTCAAATGTTGGAGTAAATTTCCCAGAGAGGTTATGGAATCACCATTTTTGGAGATATTTAGAGCCCAATTGGACATGGCCCTGAGCACCTGATCTAGTTAGAGATGCTTCGAGACCTGACCTCCAGAGATCCCTTCCAACCTGAATTATTCTGATTCTGTAAATTTTATTAATACAATAAATAAGGCTCTTTCACAGGCTCCAGCAATAACCTGCAACTGTCCACTGCATTTTCTTGCCAGCATGCTCCTTGCTAAAGCCCATGCCAGCTACCACACTCCCAGACTACATCTAAGGGTAATTTGGAACAGAGCACAAAACAGAAATTCTTCCAGCTGACAGTATGGATAGGATCAAACTTTTCCGAACAAGAAAGAGAAGACATAATAGCCATATACAAAGCTAGGTCATGCCACTGCTCCTCAGAACCAGAGAAAGGTCCCTAGCTTATTTTATTTAGATGTACAGATGTAGCCTGAGGCAGATGAGGAAACAAGCTAAAGAACTAACAAGGTATAAAATAAATAGTTAGTTTGAATAAGAAGTAATTCCAATGAATGATTTAAACAATGATCATTAACAGAACAGAGATACTAAAATTCTCCTAAATTTAGAATTAGAACATGATGTTTTGGGCCTAAGTAATCTCTTGTATATCAAAACATGAAAAAGCCTAGGCTTATCTAAAATAGATCATTAGCTGTTCAGAAGTTTTGAGGTTTTTAAAATATAGGTGAGGTCACAAAAAGTTCCAAGGTATGAAAACCAAAATTCCAAAGGATCTGTATTCTCAGTGTAAATCACTCTGTAACTGTACAGCAGTTTATCGATCCATCAAAGCAGTAGGTCAAATTATTGTTATACTCAATACATGTCAACTTAAAGATTATTCTGAAATCTTTTGGATGGATACTATGAGAAGCACTTACCAAAGATAACTAACAAATTTTACATTATTACAACTGCTTTGTGTAAGCTCTAACCCATCACCAACAATCATACTCAATGGGAGAATGTCTGAACAAAATGCATACATGTTGAGACATTAGAAATGCAGGATTTCTATCAGAACATTTAAGGTTCATTTCTGAGTCATTTTGGTAATCTAAAGTCACAAAATAGGTGATTTCAAGCTAACAACTGTACCAGTGCAAAAAGAATCTTCTATAATTGATAGCTAACAAGCTTCAATGGGAGTTCCTCTCTCAAAGTGAATATTAATTTAAGCCATATTCATTCCTTCAGCAACTCCTTCAAGATACATAAGTGTGAAAGATTGCAGATAAAATTTCAAATCCTCAGATTCAAGGTTTTTAATCTATCTATTTTGGTGTATTTAAGATAAATTAGAGATCTAAAGCAGAGCTAGAAAATATGCAATTCTAGGTGACAGAGAACCTTAATGTAATATTTTCTTTTCTATACTTCTTGTTAAGTGTCTTCTTTTTAACCCAGCAATGATTGTACGGATATAAAACCTTTCAGAATTACCAAGCTTTCTGCAAATCATGTCATGAACATTTTTACCTTTCTATGCTGTTTTCTTTTTCTGAAATGCAACCTATCAGTAATTTACTTTTGTAAGGTACAGAGAAATCAAACTACTTCAGGACTGCAAGAAATTTTTTATAACAGAACAAACTTCCAGAGAACCTTCATAATAAATACTACATTTATATTATAATGTATTTACATATAGAAACATAGAATAATTAAGGTTGGAAAAGACTTAAAAGATAATTAAACATCAACGAAGCACTACCACCTCAATGCCATAAGCACACATTTTTTTGAACACTTCCTGAGATGTTGAACTCCACTACTTCCCTGGGCAGTCCATTCCAATGCAGCTCTTTTAATGAAAAAAATTTCCTAGTATCCAATCTAAGCCTCTCCTGTTGCAACTTGAGGCTATTTTCTCTTGTCCTGTCACTTGTTACCTGGCAGAAGAGACTAACACCAACCTGGCTACAACCTCCTTTCAGGTAGTTGTAGAAAGCAGTAAGGTCTCCCCTCAGCCTCCTTTTCTCAAGGCTAAAGATATATACACATATAAATACAAATACATATAAAAGCATATGGACATGCCTGGTGTCTAAATAATATATGTTCAAAATTGTAGATTCCAGATTTTTAGTCGTAATTCCAATTTTCACTGAAATAGTGAGAACTTCCAACACACTTTTTAATAAAGGTCTTGGGCCACAAAACAAGTGAGAATTATTTACAAGAATAGTGAAAGATAGGGTTGAGTATGGAACAGAGCTATGGAAGGCTGTACAAAATAAAAAGTTTAGGGTTAGTAAGAAAAACCACACAAATGTTCTGAAGAAACACTGTAAGCTCTTTCAAGTAAAAAAATCTAAACTATTATGGATAAAACACTACAGACATACTCGCAAGAAGCTGGACTGTGTGTTTTCTATTACCTCCAGTGAGGTAATTTGCTTCTTGTTAACAACTTGTACCTCTGCAAGCAGATTTTCAGCTTCATTCATTGCATATACAATACCACTTGAGGAGAACTTTCTCATGACCATGTTGCTCAACTATCAGAAAAAAATTTCAGACAAACCAAGCAAATGAAGAGCACCTGCTTGATGTGCTGACTCTAATGAACAGATTGTAAACTGTATCTGAGAAAGCGGTGTTTACAAACCACCACCTGCTAAAGCATCTCCCTAAGATACACTGCCTTGGATAATTCAGTTCAATTTTAAGTCTGATTACTTTCATCCACAGGTGCACTCAGTCTAAATTCCAGGGAGGCATGCCAGGGGAGCAGATGGGGGGAGGTCCTGGGGTGGATAGTTCTCGGATTGGATGGATTTGTACTATAAAATTTTAGAACCCCTGGACATTTGTGTGCACCTATGTACTGTGTGCATCTGAAAGCTTTCATTAAAGAATTTAGGCATCAGGAGAAGAAACAAAAATTGGAAGAAAAGGTAGAGATGATGCTTAAGATGGCTACCAATCCAACTGTCATCGTACTGTCGAATGGGGTTTCAATGTTCTGAAAAATCAAAGCTGGCATCTGGATGGCAGTGTGCCATCCTTTGTTTCAAATGGTAACCCTAATCCTGAAAGAAATCCTCAGGCTGCAGTGGGTTTGCTCAACAGTCCACTCATTATTACCTGCTACTGGCTTTCCCAGTGGGTACTGATGAAGTCCTAAGAAGGCTGCAGGTGATTAAGAGGGACCTCAGGGCCTTGGGATCTGGAGCATAAATTGTGTTCTCTTCTGTCCTGCCAGTTGCAGGGAATTATGGGGCAAGAAACAGGAAAATCATGGAGATTAATAACTGACTTCGAGAGTGGTATTATCAGTTTATATGATACTGATCCTCATGGCAAACAAATGAGTTCCAGCTGTCTCAAAGAGGAAAAAGGATCGTACCTCAGGAGTTAGCAGAGCTCATTGAGAGAGCTTTAAACTAGATTTGAAGGGGGACAAGAACATAGCCAGGCTGGACAGACACAAGGTATGTGAAGGGGAAAACGATAGCAGCTACCTAAGTAGCAAACTGAGGCTTAAGAGGCAATACCTCCAGCAAGTACAAACACTCAAAGACATAACCACAAGAAAGGACTATGGGGCATCCCTTACTGCAATATTGACACAATCAAATACTTCTATAAGGTGCGTGTACACCAATGCACTCATGGGGAACAAACAGGAGGAACTGGAGATCTGTGTGCAGTCACAGGGCTTTGATCTCAGTGCAATTCCGGAGATAATGTTGGACAGCTCACATGACTGGAATTTTATCATGAAGGGCTACAAACTTTTTAGGATAGACAGACTGGGAAAACGTGGTGGTGGAGTTGCCCTCTATGTGATGCCTTGGGACAGATGATGAGCAAATTGAGAGCTTATGAGTTAGGATAAAAGGGCAGACTAGTAAGGGTGACACTATCGTGGGTGTTTGCTACAGGAGGAGGAAGTGAATGAAGCCTTCTACAGGCAACTTGAAGCAGCTTCAAAGTCACAGGCACTGGCTCTTAACAACCCTGACATCTGCTGGAGAAGCAACACAGTGAAGCACCAACAGCCCAGGAAGTTCCTGGAAAGACTGAGGACAAATTCCTGACATATTCCCACAAGTAATGGTGACATACTCAACCTCACACTAACAAACAGGGAAAGCTTTGTTGGAGATGGGTCTAAACATATATGTTAGCTGTCCTGCATAGTCTTACTCAATAGAGTTCCCTATTTTACCAGGTCATGTTTGCTCATTACCTGCTAAAAGTGAGATGCTACTATATCTTTATTTTAATTAATAATTAATATAGTACAACTATAAAAATGACCCATATTTGATTATTGCTCATAAATCATCAACAGAAACTCTCATTAAGGACCTCTTCCCACCAACGTTGCTTAACTCGTACAAGGTAAAATGAGGAAATCTGTCCCTGAGTTCAGACAGTTATTGTAAAAACAGAACTAAAGGACATCATATTTTCAAACTCACTCTAAAAACACAGCAGTTCTCCTGACGTATTATTATTATTTTAGCTTCTGATTTCTAGATGTAAGAAGGAAAAGCATTTTATGTCTCAATACTAGTTTCAGTACTTTTAGTTCATATTCTGATTGAAAAAGGAAAATCAAATTATTGGAAAAATTCATAGAGTTATAGAAAGATTTGAATCCAAAATGA